GAGGACCCCATGAGACCCGAAAGAACACCAAGAGAGGCCCCGAAGACACCCCAAGAGGCACCCCGATAGAGCCCCAAATAAGCAAAATTATCGATTTCCCATCGGAGAACTAATGTTTTTGGCGTGTTCGCCTTTTGGGCTTCCACTGCGTCCAAGACGGCCCGAAAAGGAAATTAGCCTGGCGAAGGACCCAACCATATGCAGTTGTGAGTACCGTCTTTGTGAGCACGCATTCGGTGGGGCTTCCTATGGGGCCACAAAACGTTGTCCTGGGTGGGGGAGACGCATGCGAACGCCCCCATTGCGACCTTCGGTGGAGCTCCCTATGGGGCCACGAAGCGCTGTCCTGGGCGGGGGAGACGCATGCGAACACCCCCACTGGGGCCTTCGGTGGAGTTCCCTATGGTGCCACGAAACGCCGTCCTGGGCGGGGGAGGCATGCGAACACCCAGGTTGAGGCCGTCGGTGGAGCTCCCTATGGGGCCTCGAAATGTCCTGGGCGGGGGAGACGCGTGCAAACACCCGTACTGGGGCCTTCGGTGAAGCTCACGATTGGGCCACGAAGCGCTGTCCTGGGCGGGGGAGACGCATGCGAACACCCCCACTGGAGCTGTCGGTGGAGCTCCCTATGGGGCCACGAAGCGCTGTCCTGGGTGGGGGAGACGCATGCGAACAACCCGATTGAAGCTTTCGGTGAAGTTCCCTGGGGCCGCGAAATAATGTCTTGGGCGGGGGCGACGCCTGCGAACACCCCTACTGGGGCCTTCGGTGAAGCTCACAATGGGACCACGAAACGGTGCCCTGGGCGGGTGAGACGCATGCGGACACCACCACTGGGGCCTTCGGTGGAGCTCCCTATGGGGCCACGAAACGCTGTCCTGGGTGGGGGAGACGCATGCGAACACCCCGATTGAGGCCTTCGGTGGAGCTGCGTGTGGGGCCACGAAACGCTGTCCTGGGTGGGGGAGACGCACGCGAACGCCCCCAGTGGGGCTTTCGGTGGAGCTCCGTAATTATGGTGCCACGAAGCGCTGTCCTGGGCGGGGGAGACGCATGCGAACACCCCGACTGGGGCCTTCGGTGGAGTTCCCTATGGGGCCACGAAACGCCGTCCTGGGCGGGGGAGACGCATGCGAACACCCTCAGTGGGGCCTTCGGTGGAGCTCCCTATGGGGCCACGAAGCGTTGTCATGGGTGGGGGAGACGCATGCGAACACCCGCACTGGGGCTTTCGGTGGAGCTCCCTATGGGGCCACGAAGCGCTGTCCTGGGTGGGGGAGACGCATGCGAACACCCCGATTGAAACCTTCGGTGAAGCTCCTTGGGGCGGCGAAATATTGTCCTGGGTGTTAGAGACGCATGCGAACACCCCTAGTGGGGCCTCCGGTGAAGCTCACAATGGGACCACGAAGCGCTGTCCTGGGTGGGGGAGACGCACGCGAACACCCTCAGTAGGGCTTTCGGTGGAGTTCCCCATGGGGCCACGAAGCGCTGTCCTGGTTGGGGGAGACGCATGCGAACACCCCGACTGGGGCGTTCGGTGGAGCTCCCAATGGAGCCACGAAGCGTTGTCCTGAGGAGGAGGAGGAGGAGGAGGAGGAGAAGGAGGAGGAGGACGAGGAGGAGGAGGAGGAGGAGGAGGAGGAGGAGGAGGAGGAGGAGGAGGAGGAGGAGAGGAGAGGAGAGGAGAGGAGAGGAGAGGAGAGGAACGCGGGGCGCTGTCTCTTCAAAACGAGGACCCGACACCACAGGATGGCTGGGAACAAGAAGGTCGAGGATGCCCCCAAGAGGGCCCCAAGACGGCCCACGAGGAGGCCAAGACGGCCCACGAGGCGCCCAAACCGCCCAAGAACGCCCCAAGTCGGCGCCCAAGACGGGGACGAGGAACTGAAAATGCGAGCCATTTGGCCCAAGAGGCCCCCAGGAGACCCCAAGAGGCTCCAAGAAGCGCCAAAGAAGCCCCAAGAGGTCCCCAAGTGACCCGCAAAAACACCAAAAGAGACCCCGAACACGCCCCAAGGGGCACCCCAATAGAGCCCCAAGAAGCAAAAATCTGTGTTTTCCCCAGGGGAAACTGATATGTTTGGCGTGTTCGCCTTTTGGGCTCCCAGTGCGTCCAAGACGGCCCAAGAGGCACCCAAGCCGGTCGAGGTTGCCCCCAAGAGGGCTCCAAGACGGCCCAAACCGCCCAAGAACGCCCCAAATCGGTGCCCAAGACGGGGACGAGGAACCGAAGATTCGAGCGTTTTGGCCCAAGAGGCCGCTCCAAAAAGCGCCCAAGAAGCCCAAGAGGCCCCCAAGAGACCCGAAAACAATTATCCTGGCGACGGACCCAACCATATGCAGTTGTGGGTACCGCAATTGTGATTTTTTTTTCGGTGGAGCTTCCTATGGGGCCATGAAGCGCTGCACTGGGCGGGGGGGGAACGCATGCGGGCGGTAGAACTGGGGCCGTCGGGCGAACTCCCGATGGGGCCACGAAACGCCGTACTGGGTGGAGTGAAAATGCCAAATTTGCTGTGTGGGACGCATGCGGGCGGTCCCACTGGTGGCTTCGGTGGAGCTCTCTATGGGGCCACGAAACGTATGAGGGGTGTGCCACATTTGGTTTCCGGGACGCATGCGGACGGTCCCACTGGGGGCTTCGGTGTAGGGCCACGAAGCTTTGCACTGGGTGGGGGGAAACGCATGCGGGCGGTAGAACTGGGGCCGTCGGGCGAACTCCCAATGGGGCCACGAAACGCCGTACTGGGTGGGGTGAAAATGCCAAATTTGTTTTGTGGGATGCATGCGGGCGGTCCCCCTGGTGGCTTCGGTGGAGCTCCCTATGGGGCCACGAAACGTATGAGGGGTGTGCCACATTTGGTTTCCAGGACGCATGCGGACGGTCCCATTGGGGGCTTCGGCGAATCTCTCTATGGGGCCACGAAGCGTTGTACTGGGTGGGTGAAAATGCTAAATTGGGCTTCCGAGACGCATGCGGACGGTCCCACTGGTGGCTTCGGTGGAGCTCTCTACGGGGTAACGAAACGCCGTAGTGGGTGGTGTGAACATACAAAATGTTGTTTCAGGGACGCATGCGGACAGTCCCACTGGGGGTTTCGGTGGGGCTCTCTATGGGGCCACGAAACGCCGTACTGGGTGGGGTGAAAATGCCAAATTAGATCTCCGGGACGCATGCGGACAGTCCCAGGGGTTTCGGTGGGGCTCTTATGGGGCCACGAAACGCTGTACTGGGGGGGACTAATGCATACGGTAGCACTGGGACCTTCTGTGGGGCTCCCTATGAGGCCACGAAGCGCTGTGCTGGGTGCGGGGGACGCATGCGGACGGTAGCACTGGGACCTTCGGTGGGGCTCCCTATGGGGCCACGAAGCGCTGTACTGGGTGTGGGGGACGCATGCGGACGGTAGCACTGGGACCTTCGGCGGGGCTCCTGGCGAGGCCACGGAACGCTGTATTGGGCGTGGGGGACGCATGCAGACGGTAGCATTGGGACCTTCGGTGGAGCTCCCTATGGGGCCACGAAACGCTGTACTGGGTGGGGGGGACGCATGCGGACGGTAGCACTGGGACCTTCGGTGGGGCTCCCCATGGAGCCACGAAACGCTGTACTGGGCGCGGGGGGCGCATGCGGACGGTAGCACTGGGACCTTCGGTGGGGCTCCCTATGGGGCCACGAAACGCTGTACTGGGTGGGGGCGACGCATGCGGACGGTAACATTGGGACCTTCGGTGGGGCTCCCTATGGGGCCACGAAACGCTGTACTGGGTGGGGGGGACGCATGCGGACGGTAGCACTGGGACCTTCGGTGGGGCTCCATATAGTGGCCACGAAACTCTGTACTGGATGGGGGAGACGCATGCGGACGGTAGCACTGGGACCTTCGGTGGGGCTCCCCATGGGGCCACGAAACGTTGTACTGGGGGGGCCACGAAACGCTGCCCTGGGCGGGGGAGACGCATGCGAACACCCCACCAGGGCTTTTGGTGGAGCTCCCTATGGGGCCACGAAGCGCTGTCCTGGGTGGGGGAGACGCATGCGAACACCCCCACTGGGGCCTTCGGTGGAGCTCCTTATGGGGCCACGAAACGCTGTCCTGGGCGGGGGAGACGCATGCGAACACCCCCACTGGGGCTTTCGGCGGAGCTCCCAATGGGGCCACGAAACGCTGTCCTGGGTGGGGGAGACCCATGCGAACACCCCCACTTGGACCATCGGTGGAGATCCCTATGGAGGAGGAGGAGGAGGAGGAGGAGGAGGAGGAGGAGGAGAGGAGGAGAGGAACGCGGGGCGCTGTCTCTTCAAAACGAGGACCCCACACCACAGGATGGTTGGGAACAAAAGAGGCCCCGAAACAGCCCCCAATGGGCCCTCCAACACGGCACAAGGGAGCCCCAGGGCGCCCCCGAGAGGGTCGACCAGAGAGCTGGTCCGACTTTCCACACTCTACACAGGGTTCGTCCCCGGTGGTGCCTCAAGCAGGTGTTGCCATTGGAGTCCTCATTTGCCTGAGACAAACTCCAAACATTTTTTGCGCAGCGATTCCTGTGTCTGTGACACGCTAGAGCCTAAGCGCGCGAAGCGCGCGCGTGGTTCTAGTTGCCTCTACTGCGCGCCCCTCTGTTTGCACTCGGTTCGTGGTGCGAGCGGCACGCGCCCGAGCTACAGGGCCAACACCGAAGCCTGTGGATGCTCTCGAGAGAAGAAAGAAGAGGGTCTGAATACTCTGCAAGCTGGTTCCAAGAGGGCCCTTGGGCGCGTCGGAAGAGGCAAACATCGTTGAACATCGGTTGTTCTCTCTGAGCGCCCAAGTTGGCCCAAGAGCCCCGAGATCGCCCCAGGACGGCCCACAAGAGCACCACGAGGGCCCCGTGACCCCGTAACCATGTTGGTTCAAGAATGTCTGGCTCGTTAGCCGGGATTCGAAAACCATATCCACACACACGCACAGAACGTACCCGCTCCATTTGGTAAATTTTCAGTTTGCCGAGACAACATGCTTAGTATGATGGTTCCTCTCCGCACTCTGGTCGTAGCCGTGCTGCTACGAGCGGTTGCCGCGATCAAGATCGTGGAGGACGGGGACAGGGACGGGCCCGAGGTCATTTTTGGGGAGAGCTCTGACGTGTGGCGCAAGATCATGGAGGCTAGCGCCAACGCAGTGCAGCAAAAGCACCACGCAGAGGAGGCGGCGAAGGCTGCCGCGGAGGCCAGAACGGTCGACGATGCGGCGAGGGATGCAGTAGCGGCAAAGGCTGCAGCTGATGCCACGGCCGCAGAGCAGGTGGCGAAGGCTTTGAAGGAGGCCAAGGCTACTGAGAGGGCTGCTGCGGAAGCCAAGACGACAGATGAGGCGGCAAAGGTTTCCGCGGAGACCAACGGTGCAGACGAGACCGCCAATGTTGCTTCAGAGACCAGTGCCGCGGAACAGGTTGCGAAAGCTGCCGAGGAGGCCAAAGCTGCAGAAGAGGCGGCGAAGGCTGCCGCACAGGCCGAGGCGGCCGAGGCGGCGGCGAAGAAGGCCGCAGCGGCGAAGGCTGAACCAGATGCCAGGGCCGCAGAGAAGGCGAAGACTCTCGCGGAGGCCGAAGCTGCCGAGAAGGCGGCCGAGGAGGCCAAGGCGGCAGAGGAGGAGGCAACGAAGGCCGCAGCAGAGGCCGAGGCGGCCATGGAGGCGGCGAGGGAGGCCGCGGCGGTACGAGCTGCAGCGGCGGCCAGGGCCGCAGAGGAGACGGCGAGGGCTCTGGCGAAGGCCAAGGCTGCCGGGGAGGCTGCCGCGGAGGCCAGAGCTGCAGAGGAGGCGGCGAAGGCTGCCGCGGAGACCAGTACCACGGAGCAGGCTGCGAAGGTCGACATCGGTTAATCGATCCCCATCCCCATCCCCATCCCCTTCGAGACCCCCACCAAATGACCACCCCAGTTGAGGATTCGCCCCTCAAACCCCGAAGGGAACGACCTAACCCTGTCCCACGGATACTAATCCCACAGGGATAATAAAGTTCGGGGTCGCGGGGGGATTATAAATGTTGCCTACCGGAGGCCAGCATGTGGGAGGAGAAAGAGATGATGTTAAGAAGACCGAAAGCCGAGGATCGAGGATCGAGAATCGAAGTCCGAGGATCGAGGATCGAGATCCCAGATTCGAGGATCGAGGTCCGAGGATCGACGGCGGCGAGGTCCGAGGATCGAGGATCGAGGTCCGAGGGTCGAAAATCGAAGATCGAGGATCGAGGTCCAGGGTGCCAGGAGGAGAAGGAGGAAGACAGAGAGAGACAGAGACAGAAAGATACAGACAGTTAGAGAGAGAGAGAAGTAGAGAAAGATAGACAGACAGAAGGAGAGAGGAGGAGGAGGAGGAGGAGGAGGAGAAGATACGCCAAAGTTCCAAACCTATTAAATTTAATGTGTAAACAAACAATTAAGAGTTTCATCTGCTCGTGTAGGGTAGGTAGCTCACGTGCCTCGGTTTTCGTGGATAGTAAACCACAGCGATAAGAAAGTTCAGGGTGCAAGGGGGAGAAGGAGGACGACAGATAGAGACAGAGACAGAAAGATACATATAGTTCGACAGAGAGAGAGAGACTGCCCCCAAAAATTGTTGGTTTCGCTTGAGACATCCTCGAAAACATCTTCGCTTCGCTTGATGTTGCTATCTCAACATAAGAAGGAAGTTAACCTCGATGGTGAACTTTTCACAGTGATTAAAAAAGTTCGGCCTTCGCGCCCCGCGCCCCTGACCAAACTCTTCTTGGCCGTGGATAATCAACTCTAGCGTGGAAAGGGGGGGTCCTTTTTATCGTCGGCACAAGGTTATATCCCCACCTAGGAGGGCAAATCGGCCAGTGGGGCCCAGGCCACGCCGCTGAGGATGGGGATCGGTTAAACGATACTCTGAAGGTTGCCGAGGAGGCAAGAGCTGCCGAGGAGGTGGCGAAGCCTGCAGCGCCGCCAGCGCCAGCGTCGATCACGGAGGACCGCCATGATAGGGGGCGACCACAAACGACTCCTCCGCCGACAGCGCCCCCGACGCCAGAGCCGACGCCAGAGCCGACACCCGAGCCGACATACGTATATGACGGTCCAGGCATCCCTTGCTCGTGTCACGTGCCGCAATGCTTCCAAACTTACGACCTCAATAGTGATGGTTGCCTCACCCTGAACGAGTGTGACCTGCAAACGCCCATCTTGGGATACTGTTTCCAGGTACCAGCAGATTGCGGGCCAGAGAAGTGGGACGTGAATGATGACAGCTGCATCGATTCAGTGGCGTTGCCGCGCGAATTCCGCCACAGTGCTTCCAGGGGGGGAGGGACTGGAAGTGGGGGGGCTAGTATGGTACACATCTCTAGACGCCCTACCCTGAACATGTACTATTGGCACCAGGTCTGCTTGGCAGGCGGACAACTATCGAAGAAGAAAAAACGCCATAAGCATAATTTCTTGGCGGTCCGCGCGGAACGCCAAAAGTTTCTGTTTATGGCATTTGTTATTCTTCTTCTTGATGTAACCCAGAGGACAAACAGTTGTTAGTGAAGGGGCCCTGGGACACAAATAAATACACACAAATAACAGGATTCCCCATGCTTTCCAATATTTTCTGGGTTTTTGTCTTCCCCCCATTTCCCATATTTTCCCATATTTTCTGGGGATCGACGATGAATTGTGTCTGTGTGTTTTTCCCCCTCCTGAGTTAGTCTCGATGCGCCAGCGGGACCCGACCGACTGCCTCGCAAGCAGCAAACACCCAGCGTCAAAGGAAGGGCCCCGGCACGCACACTATGGCGTCGCGGCGACGCGCGCAGCTGCGCGGCGAACTCAGGCTACCATTAAGTCGGGCGTGTCTCTCTACAGACGGAATATTCCGGAACAGTTAAGAAATTATTTGGGGACGATGTTTCTATCTTGTTTGACTATTTTTGAGTTTTTGTTTCGTAGCTTTCGCCCAAAATCCGCCTGCAGGAGGACATGCCCGACCTAAAGCTACGTGGCGGGCAGACCAGCCGAGGAAGGAAGTTCGGGCGCGGCCCAGCTCAGAGGCAGCAGGGCGTGCCGGGCCTCCCACCAGGGGGGAGGCAGCCGCAATGGGGTGGCGAGGGAGGCCGATCGACGGGAGGGGAGGGGAGGAACCACGGGATGAGGGAAGGCACTGTTAAGGGGAGGCGGAGGACAGTAGAAGTCGTACTGTGCGCAATGGACCGGCGCACACACAAGCACGCACGCACGCACGCACGCACGCACGCACGCACGCACACACACACACACACACACACATACACACACACTCACACTCACACCGCTTCGAGCGCGGTGGCGGACCTAAACGAGTTTCTCCGGGTTTACGAGGTCAATCAATCAGTATGCCCGCAGGAGCTTCCAGAGCCATGCGACGAGTGCCCACAGGGCAAGTATATCGTCCCGAACCCCTGTGAGTGCGAAGACTGCGTTGGCGAAACGCGCAGGTGGCTCGGGAACGGAATCCCTGACATGACCACGCAGATTTGCAGGCGATTTATGGCCCACGATGCCCCAGTGCCAGGGAATATTTGGCATGCGAAGAACGGTATAAGATAAGCTTTTACGCTGTCGGGGGCGCTTGCTCCAGGGCCGCTGGAAAGTTTATATCTTGACGCGCCCCTGTAAGGGTACAAACTTTCCAGCCGCCCTGGGACAGGCGCCCCCGACAGCGAAGAAGTTTATCTTATACCGTTCTGCACACGTTGAAATAGAAAAACCCCCTTGTGGATAACACTTGCAATTCAGGAATGCAGCCGTGGGCTGCGGCACCAGGCGCCATACCCTCGCGCGTCCTGTCATGTTATTCTGGGCTGTGTTTTGATTTTGCCGTCTCTGCCCCCGTGTAATTTTCGGTCTGATCAGGGTTTCCTTTGTCCCCAGGCGCCGCTCCACAGAGTGCACTTCTTGCCCGGCTGGATTGGTGCCCTGCCGGGATCCTGACGTAGACGAGTGTTGCGATCCTACCATTCCAAAGGCAGACCCTCCTAGTAATGGCACTATTCCTGTTCACGTCCCGTATCAATCGTGCACTGAGTTCTCTTTGGGCGACACGATCACCATCACTGGAAGATTAACGAGTGACCTGACTACTACTGTCACGCACACATCAGTCGTCATGGGGATTACCCAGGTTACTGGGGGATACGAAATCGATCTGGCCGACCCGCTCCCAGGAGACTTTCAATATGACGCGACAGTTCAGCAGACTTGCACTTCCACTGACGGGACTCAGGTCAGCGGTTCTTTTTCTCCTTTTGTTGGTGGTTGCTGTTGCGCATGTGGCACTGATTGCTGCGAGTCAACTGAGGTGTGCACTCTGTACCCCAACGGCACTGGTGTGTGTTCAAATGCTGGCCCGTACCCCGAGTTCTCGACTCCAGCCCCGACCGTCGGGGCCAAGGGCGACCCGCACTTGGTCAACCTTCAAGGAGAGCACTTCGACATCAATCACGAAGGCACGTTCACGCTGCTCCGCTTCCCACAGGCCGCCGAGACGCCGGCCGAGTTCTCGTTCCAGGCGGTCGTCCAGGCGGACGTGGGGAAGCCGTGCACCACCTACATCACCCGCGTGGCACTCTCGGGCGCCTGGCTCGGCGGCAGGTCCGTGGAGGTCCGCTGCTACCGCAGGTCCCACTCGAACGACACCGACGCTTTCCTCGGCGCTCGGCTGCTCGACGGCAGCGGCGACCCCCCCTGGCAGACCATCGAGGAGTTCGACACGAAGGTCAGAAGAGGAAAAGGTATCGACACCGCTGCTCGTCCTGGAGGGCCCTCGTCGCCACGGCTGGATTACCCTCGAACTTCGAGGCAGAGTGCACCCAGAGAGAGATCCGGTTTTGTTGCGGCATCGGTACCGCTTCGTCCCCGCAGTAGGATCTTGTGCTCTCCGACTCGGAATCGGACATCGAGGTTTCGCTGGACAAGTCGGCCTGGTTCCCCAAGAAGCGCTCAAAAGCGGGCCCGACTGCGGCTGGCATGTTCACCCTGTCTCTGCGCAACAAGAAAAGCCCGACTGCCGCCAAAATCACCATGCGCCAGGACTTGCCCGAGCAGGAGCACCTCAACGTGGCAGTGCGGCAGTTGTCCCAACTTGGCCGTGTGGACGTCGGCGGCCTACTCGGCTTCGATGCACACCAAGAGAGCCTCGAGCGTCCCTCTGCCGCGTGCGTCCATCACAGAGCCACGGCGCGCTACCGCATCGAGAGCCAGGACGACGCGGACCACGGCTATTACTTCCGGCCAGCGTGGAAGGATCGTTGGGACAAGGCTCGCACAGGGAGGAGTTCGCGAGACAACGAGGCGGCCGCCAGCTTAATGGGCAGATTTGATGGCCAGAGCGGCCTGGACAATATGATGTGCAAGTGCCCGAGCAATCCGCACGGCGACGCCACTGGCAGCATGGAAGGAGTACTCGTCGAGGAGGCGAGCTTCATGTTCGCCAAGGCGTCTTGGGAGTAGTCGCGCACCTCTGAGTCGTGCCGCTCCGCTACGTACGGACGCGTGCCGCGGGCTAGCAAAAATATACGATGAGCTCACACCTTGGTCGCACGTATGTCTTTAGCTATCGGTCTGGCCCAGGAGACCCGCAAGCGCTTCTGTGTGAAAAATCAATGCTGACAACGACGCGCTGCCTGCTCTCCTCTTCTCGCGGCGCGGTCACGTCCACCACGGCACAGCTTCTGGCAGCTGTGGAATCGATCGCGTCTTGCTGCGCGCCCTCTTTCTTCCATGCGATGCGGCCCGCCGTGCGCAGGCCCCCAAGACGGCATAACCCGGCCTCCTTCCTCCTCCTCTTCCTCCTCCTCTTCATCCTCCTCCTCCTCCTCCTCCTCCTGCTCCTCCCCCCGCTCATCCTCCTCATCATCCTTCTCCTCGATCCTCCCTCCTGCCCTTCCCTTCATCTCTCCCTCCCTCCCAACCCCACTGTCTCCCCCACCTCCCAGGACCCGAACGTGCGGGAGAACATCCTCAGACACCACCTCCAGCCCGCCGAGGTCGCAGTGAGCGAAGGGTGGGGGGTCTGAAATTGACTGAAAGTCGGTTCCTTTGACTTCGCCAAGTTTGATTGTTTTCGGGTATCACCATTCTCGCAGTCGTGAGTTTCTTGGAAATTACAGGCTCAATTCCCAGATTCAGCATCACGGTCAGATGAGATCTGTTCACGCAGAGTCGCTGAAGAAATCCCTTCCGAGCACTATGCTCGCGGCACCAAGTCCTTGTAGCCGCCTTGAGCCAAGATGCCAGCACGCGCACGCGTACCTCTAGTGGCGGTTGTAGCATCGACAGCGACGGCGGCAGTAGATGACAGCCGTCACGCTCAGCCGCCCCCACTGCTAGCCAAGCAGGCGGGGCGATCGACAACACGATGCCCCCCTAACCGTCTGGACTGCAACTCGTTGGGAAGAGCAGGCAAGACTGCTGTCCAACAATCCCAGAAGTTCGCAGCGAAATCGCACATCGCCAGGTCAGCCGAAACCAAATTGCACGGCCCGCCACCGTGGGCGTTCGTAGTGCGACGCCACCCGCATGAACGCCCGAATCATTGCGCGCTCGCAGTAATCATTGCCTAGCTTGCCACACAGCAGGGCCCTCAGTCGGCGACACGCTGGCCGCCTGACAGCAACGGTTGTGTCGAACCACCCCAGGGGGGCGCGAGGATAACCGCGCTTCACTCGTCGCGGCCTGGGTCGAAGAGCTGCCATTCTCCAGGGCGGCGGCGCGAGGGCGCGAAGGGGGTGCGGCAGAGAATCTTAGGATGAGGGGGGGTGGCCCGAACGCGGGGACCACTGCGCGAACGCAGCGGCCTCAGCCCATCGAAGTCCAAACGCGGAGCAGAGGCGTGGCAGCCGCGGCCAGGACTGGTGTCAAACGAACCAGAGAGTGCATGCCAGGATCCACCGTGTCCCTCAGTGCTTCCACGTTCAATCATGCGAAGTTCAACCTTGAACACCTTCGCTGGCGTCGCCTGCGCGCCATCGCCGCATGAACCTACCGTAGGCTGGGCTCAGCCTTCAGATGAGTTCACCAGGGGTCGGGATGACGTTTTTCAAATTGCGTATTGGTCATGCGCACATTCATGTAGCTATGCACGTGAGGGGTGTGTTGGATATGTTGTTTGGTTTTCGATGCATCGCCGACGTCGACGATGCATCGCCGGTGCATCACCGATGCATCGCCGATGCATCTCCGATGAATCGGCGTTGCGGCGCGATCCTCTGACCCCATCTACCCTGATCCCATCTAGGAGGCCTCCATCTGCTCCAGGTACGTGGCATCGACTACAGACTTGGCTTACACCCCAAACTTGCTTTTTCGTCGAGTGTACGTAGCATGCGTCAAAATGTTCGCAGATTCGACAGCAGTGCTGCGCATCTTTGGTAGAGCCGACGGAAAAAAACAAAAAAAACAGTTCGGGGTAAATCCATCATGCAGTCGATCCCCTACAGTCGGCCCAGATTAGTAGGTCGACCCTGCCAAATCAAGGGTACCCTTGTGTCCTGTGTCCCGCGACCCATGCTTCCTACATTCCTGTGGCAATGTGGCCATCGGAAGGGTCTTGTGTCCTCTCGCGTGTCCTGTCCAATCGAGTCCGACTGTACGGGGGTGCGGGGGAGCACCAACTGACTGCGGGTTTCGGTGGATGATGTGAGCGGACCGGCGAAGGCTGGCAAGGCCAATCGACAAGCGCCTGCCGTTCGATCTACAGATTTCCCCGGTTGGTTGCTGTTCTGCCGTGGCGTGGGAACCAAGGACTGCGCAGGCTGGCTGATGTAAACAAAAGCCCTTTGCATCCTCCCGATCTCTTTCCCAGCAGCCTCATCTTGTTTTTCGTGTGAAGCAAGGCGAGCGCTTGGAGCACCCCTTCCCTTAGCGCACGCACAGGACAGCGGCGGCGAAAGAACGGGAAGGTTGCAGCTCGCTGCGTGGAGAAAGAGGATGGACACACAACGCATGTTTTATTGCATGCTCGCCTCTCGACATATGCGCAGACCTGTATCCATACATGATACACGTATACAATTATGTGCATACACGAATACACATATTCATATGTATACATTTATATGTGCATGTGTGTATATGTATGTATATATATACACACACGTATACATTCATATATGTATATATATACACACATGTATACCTATGTATGTATGTGAACAGGTATGCATGCATCTATACACAGGTGTATCGGTGCATATGTATCTGAGCATGTACATCGATGTATTCGTGCTTTGGTGTTGCGCGACGCGTCTCCAGAATGCCATTCCGAAACATGCCACGGTGGCCAAGTCGGGGCCCCCCCATCCTCACGACACGGGCATCCGCACTCGTGGAGGCCGTGCCCTGGGCAGCCAGCGCGCAGGAGAAGGCGAGCCGCGCCGAGCCAAGTCCAGCCGCGGGGGCCGCGGGAGAGGCAAGGAAGGGGCCGACCCGCGCCCACCCAGCGAGCCGAGCCCCGCCGCCGACAAAGGCACGGCGGATGGGACGGGGGGAGCGCCCGTCCCACAATACAACAATTGACGATCTCAAACCTGTGATGTATGTGATAGCTTGTTTTGCAGGCCCTCTGTGGTGAGCTTTCGCCGGCCTCGCGGGCTCGGCAGACGGCCTGAACAAAAATAGCTATGGCACGGCCCTCCCTCTTGCAAGCACGCGCGCGCAGTAGCGAAGAGGGGAGGGGAATGGAAGATACCTTCTGACTGCGCTGCTCCATTTCACGGAGCCGGCGTGAGACACGACACAGGGCAGAAAATCCACCCCGATCATAACCACCCCGACGCGCGAGGCCTTTCGTAAACGCGCCCAAAGAAAGAATCGAACGGGGCAGGTCTGTTGAGTAAACGCCCAGGGCCGTTTTGTAAACGCCAATTGTCTGGTCTGGGTGGTTTTTCCTCCCTTGACAATAGAAGAGAAGAACAACAACGCCACGGGCGGCGCCGGAGGTGCCGCTGGGGGTCCCAGGCGCTGATCCAAGAAATCTGCGCGGAGCGCCGAACATTTATGTTTATGGCGTTCCCAGGCGACATGCCGCGGAGAATTTTGCCGTCACGGCGCTGGACCTCTGCGGCGGACAAGCAACGCACCGCAACGGCCACGGCGTGAACATTCTCAGGGTGCACCCGCGGGAGCGGGTCAGGGGGGCCCTTTAGCCGCGACTCGGGCCGCAGCGGAGTGGACCCAGAGAGCGACGATAAAGGGGCCCAGGGACACACACACACAGATATATATATATATATATATATATATATATATATATACATACATATGTATATATATATATATATATATATGGTAGCCGTCCCCAGGAAGATCCACTTCAGACTCTTTTTCTTTGAGCATTTACATTCTCGTCGGAAATCTGGACGTTATTTTCGATGGCCGTCGCGAGAACGCAAGCATGCGGAAGATCCATCTGGATGTTCTCGAACGTTGGCAAAACAATTCAAATTGAAATCACCGTTAAAAATATTACCATTGAAATCTTGGAGAGCGGGGGAGCGGGAAAGCGGGAGAGCGGGAAAACGGGAGCGCGGGGGAGCGGGAGAGCGGGAGAACGGGAGAGCGGGAGAACGGGAGAGCGGGAGAGCGGGAGAGCGGAGAGAAGGATGCCAATTGAAATCCTCCTCAAAAGGGTTCCTATTGAGATCCTCTTCACAAGGATTCCGCTTCAAATCGTTTCGAAAGGAATCCAAATACAAATCCCACCAGCCCTCTGGGCGTTGGCGGTTTAGGGTGCTTCCTCTTCCACCCCTCCCTATTCCCCTTCGAGGAGGGTTTTGCCCCTCGCCCTACCCCCTCGGGGCCGGTCGCGGGTAGTTGGGATGCCCAAAACGGCCTCGACGAGGAAGGCAAACGACAATCATTGGTATTAGTATGGTTTTGGCCCCACTTTGGCCTCTTGGGGGGCAGCGCTATAGGAGCTCCCCTCTTCTTTGATCGATCTCCTCCAGGATGGCCCCAAGAAGCGCCCAGGAGGCCCCAAAAGGTCCCACTATGGCTCCAATATGGCCACAAGATGGCCCCAAGAGGCCCCCAGGAGGCACAACAGGACCCCCAACGGCCCCAAGAGGCCCCCCCGAGGCACCCAAGATCCCCCCCAGGACCGCCACGATATCCCCAAGACGTCCCAAGAGGCCACCAGTAAGTGCCCAAGAGATACCCCAAGAGGTTTCGAAAGGCATCCAAGAGACCTCTGGCCTTTTTGCTTGCCCTCCTCGTTATCCTGCTCCTGCTCCTGCTCCTCTTCTTCCGTCCCCCTCTTTGCTCCCGCACTTTCCTGATCACTTCAGCTCGCCTAGACATCGTTTCTGGATGGGCTGGTTGGGGGTGCAATTTAATTCATCGCGACCGCAGCGAAAGAAATCGGGCGGCGTCCAAGAGCGCGGCGCACGGGCAACGGCCTAAATTCGCGCACAGGGAGAAGGAAGGGCGAAAAGAGACAAGAGAAAGTGGGGAGAGGAACAAACAGGAGGCGAGCCTCGCTGCCGCTCAAAGGAGGGCGCACGCCAGGAAAATCTTCCAGGCGAAGTGCAACACCAAAATGGTGGAATTCAAGTTGACCGATAACACGTGCACGCCGAGGAGGACCACCAGTAGGACGAACAGCGAGCCCAGGGCCGAACCATGGTACCGCGGATGCGAGTGACAGCGATGTCGCGCGCCTCGGTGGATGTCGACCAACGCCATGCGGGCGCTCAACGGAGTAAGTCTAGATCGCCAGACACCGTGGGGACAGGTGTCGGAGGGCGCCGTCAGGGGGGTGCGAGCGGCGCGCGCCGCCAATAAGGCTAAGGGGCCCACCCTGCGGACCGAAAGGGATGAGCCTGCGCGGTGGGGGAGGACCGCGAGTCCGTCGACCCCGTGCGGGGAGGGGGGCCTTTGAGCCCAGGAAGGAGGGCCGGCAGACAGACAGAGAGGCAGCCAGGGACAGGTGGACGACAGATAGTGAAGTTCCGCTCCAGCCGTCACGGGGGAGACTGGGCTGCGCCTT